GCAAAAGTGAGGGTCTTGTTGATGTCATGTATGTCAAAAACATCATTGCTTTAGTGAGTGCTTCAGGTACTTGAGTTTTAAGCCAATTGATTTTTCCCATGCTTGTACTATTAAAACCGTGTGCTCCTTATGCATACAAATAAAAAAATAGAAACAATAACCCCATCTATATTTAGTAATCCTTAGTTTGTCTGCTACCACCGATCAGCAAGCCAACTCCTTTTTCTTGTCCCTGATACCCTGTAATCATCCCTGGTAAGAAAGAATACATCTTTGGGTCTATGTCATTGGTTTAGGCTATGTTCCTACTAGAGTAAAGGTTCTTGTGCTAAATTGTGAACCACATTCCCATAACACTTAGTTTCTTATACTCAGAGCGCAGCTAAACCATGTGTGACCTTTGGATTAGATAACTTTCAGAAACTGTGGAGTAAGACTTTTTATGTCTATCAGAACTTGGATCTGTGTTGAATGTTTTGCACTTTTGATGATTCCTCTTTCATGAATCTCAGACAAGTATAATTTGGTTTGCCTGCTAGAATGGTGTTATTTTTAGATGTGCAGAAGGAGATTAGATAATGCTGCATAGCAGAATTTTAAAATAAGTTCTGCAAAGCACAAATTTCACTATCTAAAATAGCATCCAGAGTTGCTCACCATCCTCTGTCACAAGAATATGAAGCTAATTAGATATTGGGTCTGCCATAGTCATATTATTGATTTTCTGTAGGCTTCTTAAGCTAATCAGAAAGACAAAAAAAAACAATTTTTGAGTGAGGCTTCATTTTTCTATTGGTGCTTAAAATACTGGTCAAGAATTTTTAAAAAAATTTTACTGTTGTTACTAATAAGTAGATGGTAAGTCAAAAATGCCTGTGGGGAACTTTTTTTTAAGTTTTGAGTGGGTTTGCTCTCCCTCTTTGCTCTTTAATAAAACAGAAATCGGCGATCATGGACTGTCATGGCTAAGTGTCGCCTGACTTCAAGGGTCAGTGATACCTGGCTAGGACCGTCAGCAAATGCTGAAGGGATGGTTCACCTCATCTGGCTCTACCCATCTAACACTGTGAGTCCAAGCTTTGGGCTCCTTTCCTGGTCCCAGAGCTAGCCCTGCCAAGGTGGATGTTCAGGTGAATCATGCTCTGCTGTTGCTGCTTTATTGTGGCTTCTACTGGAGACATGCCACATACGGATCAGGGTGAACAGGTTATCTCCAGCTGGATCCTCTTCCTGGCAGTCATTGCCACTCTGCTGTCCTCAGCCCTGATCTTGAAGTGTTCTTACAGACCTGATAGGGGCCATCAGCCCTGACTTCCTGTGCTCCACGGGCAACTGGAGAGCACCTGCTGTCCCCAGAGCACAACCCAAACTGGTACTGTACACCTCCTGGAAAAGCAGTCCTCAAACAGGCTGGAAACCCCCCAGTTCCTTGGAGGGCTCTTCAAGTGGGGGGTAGTCCTGGCTTAAGTCAGACTTCAAAACTTGAAGGTTTTCTGGCTTCAGCTTCCAGATCCTGGTTTTTGTCATGGTTTTGATCTCGTTTTAAGGAGGCTTTCAGAAGCTGGCATCCAAATTCAATACATGATGAATGAGCTATATTACTGGCAAAGAAACATATGTAAGCATTTTCTTTATATTTCCTACACTGCTGCCCCCAAGGAAAGTTATATAGTGGCTACAGTCATCTTACCTTGAAACTTCTCAGGTGCTCAGGCACATCTACAAAGTAAAATGCTATCCAGCATATTGATGTGCTCCTATAGGACTATCTGCTCATAAGATGCCCTGCTGCACTTCTATTCATATTACTCTAAGCTTCAAATCCAGCTCAGAAGCAGAATAATCTGTCTTGATTTTATGTTAATTGTTTTAATAGTTTTATGACCATAATTTACTCAGTGTTTGATGAGAGAGACATGACTGTAGTTACATGCTCTTTGTGAGGCAATGATCTGAGTAGCCGAGGCACTGCAATTTGATGAGAAGTGACAGACATTGATCCTTTCATTGGAAAACTACAAGGTTGCTCTTTTCCACCCCCACAAAAAAAAAACAAACAAACTTTTGAGCATTCTAGACCTGTCTTATACATATTTTCTTACAGCTACTGATCCCATCAAAAGATGAGTGATAAAATTTCCTGAACAGAATTTATTTGAACTGTTCTCATTAATTCAGTAGTTCCTCAGCTTTAAGGATATGACTATGTAGTAAATAAACAGCAGGTATTTGCAGAATAAAGGGTTGTCTTCAATCTACTGTGGTCACCAGAAATGGCCTTACTTCGACATTCTTTTCAATTCCCTTGTACTTAGATGAAAATAAAACTATTAGGTGGGCGTGAGACAGAGAGCTTTGAATATCAGTTCTGTGATCAGCTATTAAAGTAGCTCTGGAGAGGGATCTGGGCAGAGTGAATCTGAGATTAATAATATGAGGTTCAACAAGGCCAAGTGCTGGGTCCTGCCCCTGGGTCACAGCAACCCCAGGCAGTGCCACAGGCTGGGGGCAGTGGCTGGGAAGCTGCATGACAGAATAGAGTCTGGGGGTGCTGGTGACAGCAGCTGAACGTGATCCAGCAGTGCCCAGGTGGCCAAGAAGGGCGATGGCATCCTGGCCTGGATCAGCAGTGGTGTGGCCAGCAGGAGCAGGGCAGTGACCGTCCCCCTGGACTCGGCACTGCTGAGGCCACACTTTAAATCCAGGGAAGGGCAGCAGAGATGGAGGAGGGTTTGGAGCACAAGTCTTACATCTGAGGGTGTCTAAGCTGAGTTAAAAGTGTTCAAGGGGAAGTTTATCACTCTCTCTGACTGCCTGAAAGGAGTGTGTAGCCAGGTGGGGTCAGTCTCCTCACCCAGATAACAGCACCAGGGGAGGTTTAGACTGGATGTAGGGGAAATTTTCTTCAAAGCAAGGGTGGTAAAATGTTGAAACAGGCTGCCTAGGGAAGTGGAAGAGTTGCTATTCCTGTAAGTGTTCAAAAAGCATGTGGGATGTGGCATTACAGGACAGAGGTTAGTGGTTGACTTGATGGTGCTGGGATGATGGTTGGATCCAGTGATCTCAGAGGTCTTTTCCCACCTAAAGGATTCAATTTGATAATTTCATCTGTGTTTAATCACTGTTTTCCTGTCTTGTCTGAGGAAGTGCCTGACAGTTCATTTTCTCATCAGCAAAGTCTATATACTGTGCTCATGCTCCTTGATAAAAAACACAGGGAAAGTCCCCAAGCTGTCAAATAACTGTCAGGTCTGTTAACTTAAATACAGTCCACATCTTTGCTCTCATCCCATTGCATACTTTGATTTGCTCTCAGCTGGAGAAATCAGATCTACCTACCCATGATTTTACAAATTGCCAATCATCTGGATTTGTCATATTTTTCTGGAAGACTTATTTAAAGAAGGAACTTATCATGGGTTCAGTGTCAGATCTGTACTTGATTTTAAAAGTGTCTTTTCTTAAAAAAAGCATCTTTGAAGACGTAGTCTATTTTTAGCTGTGCAATAATTGCAGCAACCTGTTTGGGTTCAGTTCCTTTGTGCTTGGGATGACAGTGTGATACATCCAATTGTCCTAATGTCCATCAGGATTTATTGCATATATGGATGCAGCCAATGTTTGAAATAAATTCAAAGATACTATATTTTTGTAGCTTTAAGAAAAAAATAAAATTACATGTTTCTGCATTTCTAACAGGGCAAAGTAATTCTGTTTTCCCAAAAGAGTACAGCAGCCTGTCTCTACCTTGCTTAGGCACAGTCCTTCCTCTCAGTATTACATAGGCTAAATATGAATTTCATCACAAAAGGGAGAACAAAATAATAGACTGTGTTCAGTGCTTATCACTTTTGTGATAACTCATGACTTTTCCAGCCTCAAGGCATTAATGGCAGAGAACAAATGGTGTTGCCTGAGAGCTGCTAGCCTGCCCTTCCCCACCCACCCTGCACAGCATCTCTGGTTGTCCTTTGGCAAGTGCTTCACATTTGCTTTCTGTGACTTTCTAATTCTGTTGAAAGTGCTAATGCTCTGTTGATCTGACACACAGCCTATTATTCCCTGTTATTCCCGAAACCATCTCAACTCTTGTATGGTGTGAAATGTGGGTGCTTCAGTGGTGGAGGTGTTACAGATATTTAGGTCCCACTTCCCAGTTGGCCACTGGCTCTGAGAGGTCATGCACTTAACAGACTTCTCTCCATCTTTGAACAAGCAAGAGAAATCCAGCTGATTTAGCAGTCACTTGGCCAAGATAGCTCTTTTTTACAACCTACAACCCCCTTCCTAGGGGTCTTGAGATCATCTTGACTAGATAGAATTTTTTCAGAAGTGTCTATTACAGTATACACTTCCCTAGGAAGCAGTTCTGTTTTCTTGCTTTCTTGACATTATTCACAGTAAATTCTTCAGAAATCATTTAGGTTGAGGCAGAGATTTTTAAGGTAAGCCAACAAAACTTAAATTCCACAGAAAATCAGTGGTATCTGACACATACTTTGTGCAAGCTCTTTCATCTCCTTCTGCCCTTCACAACTATTAAAGTTTTGGACAAATTCTAATGATAAGTGCTTCAGAAATTTCAAATTGTCTAAAGAAACGTTCCTTGTTCTTAAGAATTTCATCATATTTTATGAAATATTCTACAAGGGAGAGGAGGGACAGGACAACTCAAATAGGTATGGGACTGCAAAAATGAGCCAAAGGAAACACACTTGATGGTTCGCATGCAAAGGAGCAACTCTGGGCATGGTTAGGAAACTTCATGATATAAAGATACCTGACGTAGGAAAAAATACAATCTGTCCAAGCTCCACGACAAACAATACAGCAGGAAGTCAAAGTGTGCAAAGAAAAAGCTGGAAATGAACCAAAAATGTGTCCGAATTAATGCTGGCCAGGGCCATTAGGGGCTGTTGGTGCCCTTGGGGCCCCAACGTTCTCAGCCTTAGATCTCAACAGCGTTTTCTAACTCAATGCATTTTTGTTGATCCTCCCAGGTGCTGAAGTTCACCCCTGAGGCTGGGCATGCCAGAAGAAGAGGCAAAATCAGGAACAACATGTCCTTGGTAGATATACAGCTGGATCACCATGAGCGTTGTGATTGTGTCTGCAGTTCAAGACCACCCCGATAAAAAAGGAAAAGCAAAGAAATAAAAGAAAAAAGCCAGACACACTAATTGCATCTTACTGGACATTCACTTTCAAGCAGGATTGCTCTGAGGACCTTTATACACTAATCATTTGAAATTTGCTACTAGCCTGCCTTTGCAATTAGCAAAAATCATTGCTGTGCTGATTAATGTCATGGCAACTAAACAGATATATCATACATTTATGTATCAGCATCCAAGAATTTAGGATTGTGGTTATCTGTAGCTAGATTCTGAGGGTTGAGATTTTAAAAGCTCAGTTGCAGTCCTTAGACACACAGTGCCCACTGAATTTAAATACCAGGTATGTAGGTATTTGTGGTAGCTGGCAGTGAAATAACATTGCGTTTGTTTTTCACTCACCAGTTCCTACGCTCAAATTCTGCTCCTATTTCTACCTCCTCAGCTCTCTTGATGATAGGTAGGGTTTTATGGTGGGTATAAATGAAGAGAGAATTTGAGCCTGAAGGAGTGCAAAATGGTTTGCCCCACTCTGGGAGGGAACTTCTGGCCCAACACAGTGAGATAGAATGCATAAAATCCATCATTTCATGAAACTACACATCAGTGCAGTCAAATCTCGCTGTTTGTACTCGAGCAAATCGTGTGCTGAAATTAGTAGATGCTTTGCATAAGCCAGGACACTGAGGATGGTAGGGGGTGCAGAGGCTGGTGCTTTTGCCCTGGTAGCTCCATGGCAGCCATTGCCCAAGTGTTTCTGCACCAGGGGGCTCCTGCCAGCTCCCCAGGCAGATGCCTGTGAGCTGGAACTGATTTTGATCACTACCTACCTGACCTGGATCCCTGCCCCTTGCCCAGAGTGGCCCCACAGTTGCCCAGGAGGAGCCCCCTCTACACAAGAAGGAAGAGACAGTTCTCCCCTTGGATCCTCCTCGCAGCAGTTCGAGGAGCGCTGTGCTTTCCTGTGGAGGAGATGAAGATAGGGCACCTGTTTGTTGAAAATATTGATTTGTTTTGCAGTTGTGTTACTGGGAAACAAAACCGTGTTTGAGATTTAATTATCATTATTTGGTTTAGGGTTTCTTTATTTGTTTTTTAACTTTGTCATATATGCATTAATCTTAGTTATCTGAGGTTAGTTGTCTCATTCCAGCTCTGTGTATTGCCATGGTTAAAGTGTTGACAGTGAACTTCTTTTTTTTTTTTTTTTAATTGCATTTTGCTGAAGCATATTAACTCATTAAGTAATGTCTGTCAGTCATGGAAAATGTGCATCATTTATTAACTTCCAGAAGAATATTAATAAATACCACCTCATAATAAATTTAGCACTTTAAAAGCTACAGCATAGCTTCCTATGCCTTTTAAACTATTACAAAAGTGCTCTAGCTGAAAAAAGAAAAGAAATCCTTCCAAACTAGCTTTAAGGATTTTCAAATGCTGCTCCAAAAATGTAAAAAATCCAGGCAGATTTAAGTTTTGCATAGAATTGGAGTTTTGATCATGAATGTAACAGAGGGAATAGGGTGGCACATTTAATGGCTGAAGTTTCGTGTGTTATAATAGACGTAGGCTGCATCAAATCATCTTGTCTGTGTTGGCTCTTGTCTTTTTGTCTCTGAAAGAGTGAAGTAGGTTGACAATAATGCATTATAATTAGTGGACAATGGCATGTACTATAAAGTACAAGGCCTTCAAACCAGTATGTTTTAGTACTCCACAGGTTTGTTACTAAAGCGCCCTAATGTTCTCATTTTCCCTCTTCATCAGCTCAAGTATTTTGTAAGTGCTTTTTTTATCATTTTAACAAAACTTTGCTGAAAGATCCCTTAGAAATGTTGTGTTACTTTCTTTCCTGTACTGTAACCTTGGAGATTTAGAAAGTGTGGGGGTTTTATTATTTATATTAATTTTTCCTCTCTGGCTCCCAGATGTCTGTTTAAAAATGCTCCTGAATGCTTACTTGGGAAGTGATTCATCATTTTCAAAGCAATTCACATTTAAAGAGCAGCCCTGTAACCAGAGATTACCACCTTCATTTTGTAGTTCAGGACTATTTAAAGAACATCTCATTCTTTTTCTGTCTCTAGATTAATAACAAGATTGACCCAGCCCTTCCATAAGTTCTAGCTAAGTTTGGAATAAATTTGCATGCAAGACTTGAGCAGTACGGATTGTTTTTGAGATACCACACTCCTGTTTGTGTCTCTGACTGAACCATGCCTAAGCACTCTGATTTCATAGTTAGCATTGGTTGCAGGACACACGGGTTTCACAAGGCTTTGTGCTCTGAGTGGTCCTTTAATTCCCACCCCAACAGCCACATGTTGTGAGGGATGCTTATACCTCCTGATCAGCGTATTCAGCCTTGTCTGGGAGCCTGAGTTACCCCCAGAGGCAACTGGGAAAGGCTCTCCCATAGTGTGCCTTAGTCCAAAGGTTAAAATCACCCAGTTTGGGAGCATTCTTCTCTCTCCTTTGTCTATATAGGAAGATTAGAAATTTGATTTGGACATCTGAGTGGAATACACAGAGGTAGATAGTATGAATACTCCTTTTAAAGACTGAACAGCTGACAATTCAGCTAACTGAGCTGGATAAAGGCAGCAGTGGGTACCAGGATCCAACAGAAAAAAAAAATCAGATGCAAAAAAAAAAACAACCCTTGATGTGTTTACCTTCTTAAATATAAGTGAAGCTTGTCACAGAGTTTACAGTATTATTCCTGGGACATGGTGAACCCAAGTATCAGCAATTTTTTTCCTTTTTATTTATTAGCAGAAATTGCAAAGGTGTATCTCTATACTTTTGTCTTTGTAGAATTGTTGTGTTGTTTGCATACTATTTTACCTTACAGAGCAAAGCTGTTAAAAAAACTAATTTGGATCAGTTTTATTGGTGGAATTGGAAGCCCCCAAAATAAAAATATTTTCAAAGGCAATTCAGAAAGAGTCCTCATTTCAAACCACTCATCAGCTTTTTATTTACTATAGTCTTCTGGGATAGAGCCTACTTTCTCAAGTGCAATCTATGTATATTTTTTTTATCTCAGTTAAATGCAGCTTTCCTAGCAGTACTTTTTACTTTATGCAGTATGTAATGTGTCTTATCTTGATGAAAAAATAAATACTGCTTTTGAAAGAAGATACTCTGAGTGGTTATTCATATTTGGATGAAGTAAAACCTGTTATTTACTGAAAGACACTTCCACAACATGACACCATCCATACTCACAAGGTCTCCTTTTGAATTTTAGCAGTCATTCCCAGGAGCATCAGAGAAGGACCAAAGTGCAATTTTGGGATAATCGAGTTTGAACCCCTGAGCTGGCAGAGCTGACAGCTTCCTTGTGGAGCAGCAGCAGTGTGACAGCAGCACAGCATTTCTTAGAGCTGGATTAGGGCACCCCCTCATATTTGGTGCTGATCTCAGCCCCTGCAGGCTTGACTTGGCTCCAGGAGAGATGTCCGCACTTGTCCTGCTATAGCAGCTCCTTCCTGCTAGAGGAAGCTGCTGCAGGAGCTCTGTCTCACCTGAGCAAGGGCAGAGCTAAGCATCCAATGTGTGCAGGGCAGCTGAAGGAGCCTAGGGCCTCTCAAGCTGCCTAGTGAATTTGAGCTCTGCTTCTGAGTTTGGGCATTATCCTCCAGCTTTGCCAGCAGCAATTCTTGCTGTGTTGCAGCAAATAATAACCTTCAAAGCTTTGGTAACTACTTTCAATTTAAGGTTCTTGTGTTAAGCTGAAGCTGCCTTAGGCCTTCACTGGACTGAATAAGAACATGAAATTTTTTCCCAATTGATTATTCACGAGTTAGATCCCCTGTCTGATAAGGGAAATGCAGATAGCATACAGTAGTCTGGGAACACAGCTTTTTAGTCTGTCCTCGTGCATGAGCACCTTTTTCTGTACAATAATGCTACTGATCTGAAACAGCCATTCAGATGATTGTATTTATCCCCTTTGGCTTGGTCCTTGTTACTCAGAGAGAAAAAAAATTACTGTGTATTTTTTCCTTTTTTTTTTTTCCTAAAAAGGCAGTCAGAAGAGACATTTTCTAACAAAGGAATCATTTCTCTTGCGTACAGTGAACAGGGCCATAGTTAATGGGTAAAGGAGATATTTTTTGCCTTTTGGAAATGCACGGAATACACTTCCTAGAGAGCAACTCAGCAACTGCAAAATGTTCAGGGATGGCATAAAGCTCCTCCCACCTTGGTGGGTGCATTGCTACACACCTCTGTAACTGATGGCTAGCTAACACCAGTTTGTCCCTATGCTCACAGGACAAGGAGTGTGCTAGTGAAAGCTTTCGTAAATCTGAAACTTGGAAAGCACAGCTCTGTGTGTCTTCCTCTGTAAAAGTCTCTTTTTCTAAAAGTAGTGGGTTTTTTAAACCTTCATCTTCGCCTTTTTGAAGACCACAGAATCTTCCTGTAGCCAATTTTAAGCTCTGTAACAGCTGAAAAAATGCTTGCCTGTAAATTCAGTTAAGTCTTCTCTTGCTCTTGTCCGGAGTGCATTGCCCATACACAGCTGCTGTAATGTAAATTCAGCAGAGGTCCAATTTGTACTTATTCTCCCAAGGATTCCAGTGCAGCACTTAATGAAAATTTAGAAATCAGTATTCCTGTCTTTCATTCTAGGAGTTTTAACTTTTTTTATTGACAGTCTTGGTCAAATGTGCTGAAATACATAACATTCACAGTTTATTTGGTCATTCATTGACAGGCTGTGAAAATCTGCTTTAAGTGTTCAAAGTCCAAATTCAATTTTCCATTTCTTTTCAAAGAATCATAGAATGGCTTGGGTTGGAAGGGACCTTAAAGATCATCTAGTTCCAAATACTTCTCCTTCCAAATTCCATTTGGAAATGGAATTTCCAAACCGGCAAATGTTCTGCCATGAATAATAGGAGGGAAATATTCTAGGTTCAGTCTGTCTTCTAAAATTGATTTGACTAAGATGGTCTTAAATTCTTGTAGCAAAAAACTGTATTTCATAACTGAGTTTATATAACCTGATTTTTGAAACTGAGTTTCAAAACCTCATTTATGTATTGCTTATAGAAACTTGCTGTGGCACAGACATGCTTTAATAAAAATGGAAATAGTTATGTAATAACAGTGTAGTTGATGCTCCAATTTCAAGCTGACAAAGATTTCTGCTTCGCTTGAAAGAACTTCAGTTTCAGAACTAGCACAAAGCAAACAGGATAAAAACGACTGGGTACCTTCAAATATTTTGACATAAAGGGTCAAATTCTTTGATATAAGGAAAAAGCCTTTCATTCATTGCATTTCCTTAGAAAAATAGTAAGAACAGACATCTTAACCTTTTTGTTCTGAGTTTGGAGAGTATCATTTCAAGTAGGGATACACTGAAATGAGCTCTCTCATTTCAGTCTGAAATCAGCTTACTCTTCCTGAGATGAAGGTGGTCTGGAGACCCACCCTTCATATCAATGCAATTCTGTGAAATCTTTCTGTGTGCTCCCAGTCTCATCACTTTTTGTCAAAGAATTAAAAAAAAAATCATTTGGTTTGGTAATAGTGTACTTCCACTTTTATGTGTTACAGAAAGAAAGAGGATTCCCTCCCCCAAAATGGGGAACCATTTTACATTGAAGAATCCAGGCTGGCTGAGGTGGGAAGGGACCTCTGGATATGGTCTTGTCCAGCCCTCTGTTCAAAGCAGGGTCACCTACAACACCACAGCTGTGCTCAGTCCTGTCCAGTTGGGCTTTGAATTTCTTCAAGGATGGAAATTCACCTCTTTTTCCTAGACTTTATGTAGAAGAAGGGTGAAGTATTAGTTTTGACCAACTGTGTGGAGACAGAGAAAAGTCTGATGAACCCTTGCCCCTCCACTGAGGGCTGTGTCTCATGGAAGACTCTCCAGTCTGTGATGACCAGGCCTTTCTCTCTGCCACATATGTCCAAAAGCATCACCAGGATGGTAAATTCCAGGACCAGAAAGAGTGTCTCAGGTGGTATGGGGAGAAGGGCCAAACATCCACGATGGAGGATTTTTCCCCCAGGGTACAGCAACAGTTTTTTGCCTTACATGACTAAAGACTACTACCGGTGCTTGAGAAGGAGCAGAGGAGCACATGGCACAGGAGGGAGCCCTAGTCATCCACCACAACAATGGAGACCCCAACATTCTCATTCTAGGCTGCCCTGGAGAGTCTCAGGGGTGGGGGATACCCATCACCACAAGCCAAGAGTACAGGGTCTCCATCACCCCATGGAGGGAGGGATGGTCACTGCCAGGGGACCGTCATGGGAGGGTGATTGCAGCAGCCTCCATCCAGCTGCCAGACTCAGGAGCCACTAACAGTGTTCAGCAAGCCATCACAGAAATCCTTTATACATAGTGGAAAGACTGGAGGGTGCAGTTATTCTGTAGCTTCCAGACAGATTCTCTCATTAAGGCACAGGAAAGCAAACTGTCCAGCTTTCCCAGAATATACAGGTCAGACGCAGAGCAGAGCCCCCAGAGCATCTTCCTGAACTTGTAGAGCACCTGATGTAAGAGGCCTTCATTAAACTGTTCTGATACCCGACAGATGGCATTCATTGCAACCTTTACATCAAAATATCAACCCTTTGATTCTGTTGCTAATTTATTTCAAAAGGTCAGGCAAGGATTTGTGCGCCCTCAAGGAATTGATCGCATTATAGGAAGCTGCACTTTCAGTATTCAAATAACCCCACACAGGCAAAAATGCTGCAATTTTCTCAGTTAAACTGTATCTGAGCACCAATTACACAACTGATTATTAAATGAAGATAAGCCATGTAGGCTTGCATGAAGAAGACTAATTGTTTTTTTCAATTAAAATAAAGACACTTGGGTCCAAATTAAGACCCTGACAAGTAAAGGTAAGCAAATTAGTTTCACTGGGAAATACAGCTGAAGTGTACCTGAAACGTTCAGGAGCGAATGAGTCAGCAATTTTAATAATCAAAATTGAAGTATCCCTTGAAAAGTCCTTCATAAAGCCAATTCAAGGAGCAAATGAAAACTAGTCCTTGAATTTTAATATCATATCTGATTGCAATGAGCTATGGCCAGCATCAAGAGCTTTTTCTTTTATCTGAGTTCTGATTTTTAGAAGCTAGGCAACTTTCATCAAATACCAAGCTGCTGTTCTTTACCCCTCTCAGAAGCACTTCTTGAAAAACAGAGACCAAAGGGTACTCCTT